TATCTCAGATACTTGCGGCTCGTCAGCGGGTACTATCCCTTAAATGACATATTTTCCAATTCCTTGGCAGCAATGTTTTGGATACCCACAAATGATTTTTAAAAAACTGATGCGTCAAATCTTAATGGTATTATACAACCTTATCTTTAAGGGTTCACTTCTTTACACTTTTGTTATTTCAGAATAAAACAGATTGCTACCTAATGCAATGAATGTAGCTACAAAGAGGAAATGTATAGCTTCTCCTGCAAGTGTAGAAAGCAGATGGCATGGGGCTGGGGGAAATGGAGAATGGTGGGTGGGGGCAGAATTGTGTTGGGGTTGCTGACCCTGGGATGAAGTAAAGTAGCATTATTTGAAGATAGATCCACACGATAGGGCAGCTGAAATATGGGCTTTCCTGTTTCCACTTGTTTTCTATGTTATCTCTCTTCAAGATGGGATTAATTTGTGCAGCTCCACTCCACACTCAATAGACAAGAGGGAGACAGAGAACGGACACTTTGCTGTAGTGAGGTTCCATTGTAAGCCACCACTGTGGCAGCATTTTTTTTAAACCAAATTCATTACAAATAAGCCAAACTTATTTTTGCATTGTTCTCCAATCATTCAATAACGTATCATGCCGATCTGACAATATGAACCAAGGGAACAGCTTAAGAAGCAAAGAATACCATTGCAATTTCTCTTTGCTCTAACGTTCCCCCACCAGATCTTTCACAACTCCCTCCCAAACGACTTGAATATTTACTCTTTGTCGAGAAACTAAAGTGAAGAGAGACACCCCACTGTGGAGGCACAAGTCAAATTGAAAATAAAAGAATTCAAAATAGTGACTTGGTTTTAAAATCTACAAGGACATTGGGAAGTTAGACAGATGGAAATAGTCTCATGACTTTGACGGTGTGAGATACTGAAAAAAAAACTTCATTTCAACATTTTGAGGACAGAGCTCAGAGGAGAACAACAAGGAACAACATGATTTGGACCCAGTATGCTCCTCTTGCCCAGAGGCAGTGTCTTAAATTGGGATAGTGACCCATAGAGCAGCCATTTCTTTGGTTTCATGGTCTAGGTGATCATTCTTCAAGTTAGAGATCAACTGTCTTATTAAGAAAGGTCCACATTCCAGCCCAAACTTCCCCACATCCAAAATCAGTCCATATGGGATGTGGAGTAGGAAATCTTGACTGCTTTTCTTCTGCATCCCTAACATATACACTAAGCTGAATCTTACCACATATCAGCTATGTGCCATTTCTAATGCTATCATCCTAAATGAGCCTTATTCATGATATACCATACCCCAATGTGCCCTGCTCATCTGACGCTAGCCCAAATCTCCCAGTCAATTTCAGAAGCCAATGCCTCACTTTGCAGACAAACATCTGTGGGTCATGGTGGAGGGATATGATGCAGAACAGAGCCGTCCTCTTTGCCCAGGATCTGCAGAGGAAGTCACAACACCAGACCCTGCCACCCTAGTCTAAGGTTGCCACACACTAGTGCCATCTCAGCCGTGTGGAGGGAAGAAGCTCAATGACATTCTCCACCCTGCCAGGGTATATGCAATAATCTCCTTTCTGCAACCTTATTCTCTCTCTATTTCTGCTACTGCACACTGTACCCACCAAGGCTCGCATTCTACCAGCCTCTGTGTTGCTTGCAATATCTTCCCTCACTTGCTTTCACCTACCCAATTCTCCCCAGGACTATTAACGCTGCACCTCCTGTCACTCACTCAGGGCACCTC